CCTATTTTTCGGGTCTGAAGTTGGATGCGACATGTTCCCCCGAAACGTCAGTGATTTTCAGCGGACCACACAGCGTTATATCCCACAAGATAGAAATCTTCATAACCACCGCTGTGAACCTCAAATGCTGCATGTACGACCCATAACTTCACGACTGCCCTTCTGCGTGTTAGGTCTGCCTTCGTTTCCACAGGACGTGTTGCCTCTGCCCCATTTCATTCTGGAAACAGTCTCAAGAAGAGCATTAGACACAGAAACGTCCCTTGGGACTTAGTGCGGTTTTGTGTACACGCTTGAAGGAATATGTCAAGCAAAAATAAACATATACATTTTTGGTTTTTTCTCTCTCTCCTCTTGCCCCACTCTGGAGCACAGGGCTGATTTCTCATTTTCGTGATCATTTTTACAGATGGCAGGACTCCTTGGACGGGTGATCAGCTCGTTGCAAGGCCCCTATCAAAACGCAGGACAAGACAAACAGAATAAACGCATACCCATCCATGTCTTGTGTGAGATTCGAACCCATGGTCCCGGTTGCTGAGCGAGCGAAGACAGTACATGCCTCAGACCGCTCGGCTACCGGCAACAGATAAAGACATAAATGACAATGCAAACGGATTTTACAATTTTGTTGAAATAGCCCTCACCACTTTGAACTGCTAAACTGTACTGATCTGATGTACCACAGCTAGCAGACGCGACGAATTGCATTCTTCGGCTTCAGGCGTGCCAGCTTCCTATAGGACCGGTATTGAGATGAACAATCAGACAACTCCACGCTAGCTAAAATCCGTAAAAGAGGACTGAGACAAAGAGAACGAAACAAATAAAGAATATAAGAGAGGACAAGATAAAGAAGAATAACTGTTCTAAACCGAACGCTCGAAACGTTTCCCATTTGCCTATACAGAATAGGCCAAATGAACATATTTCCTGCAGGAAAGATTCCAGCTACTTTTGGCTATGAGCATAAAGTTTGCTGTTTTCTGGGATGTGAAACCATGTACTGTGGTAGAATGTTACCAATGTTCGTGAGAACTTGTTGCCTTCATCTTCAGGGTAGAAGAGATGCGTGAAAAATGTACCCTCAAGATGGATGCAACAGTTATCCCCAAAACGTCTGTAACGTTCAACCGGACAATACGGAGTAGATAGTAATATTATTATTGAAGAAAGCAGTCTTCTGGGATTTGGCACAGTGTATATGTGGTGTTAACCGACGTTTCGGAGGAACATATCGCCTCCATCTTCAGGGTAGAAGAAAATATATATAAGAAATCTGCAAGCAAAGAGACCGTGAGAACCGGTAAAAGCAGACTGTGGAAAAATACACAGCTATGTATACACATATATTTTTTCTTCTACCCTGAATATGGAGGCGATACGTTCCTCCGAAACGTCGGTTAACACCACATATACACGGTGCCAAATCCCAGAAGACTGCTTTCTTCATAGTCACCGCCGTGAAAGCCTCAAATCTTACAATATTATTACTGTCCTTAATTCTGATGAAAGTATTAAAAATGAAGTTAATCAGTTTGGATTCTTTTGTTCAAATTAATGTTCTCATTTTCTCAGGGTCCCATTCAAGAGGGAGTGACAGGGAGGGTAGCTCCAGAGCCTTAGAAAAGGATTGAGACGTTTACTTCCCTAAAACTACGAAAAGTCAGTGTTTCTCATTATTATAAGAAATACTGAGGTGGGTCAGAATATCTGCACCGTAGCACTGGGAGTCGTAGAAGGCGATGAAAAGGGAACCTTGTGCCTGGGGGGTATAACTGGACCACCTTATCACTGGGGAGCATAAATGGCAGACACTTGGTCCTCCAGGTTGGCGGGTTAAAGGGAACGTTAATTATCTTCCTGTATAAAAAAAATTAGTGTCGGGAAATCCAAAGAATTGGAATCCGGATGGTCTAGTTCCCAGCAATGGACAAATCTGGCAGAATCTTGTAAGAAAGGCTGTGGCTCAACAACGGCTGTTTTACCATTGATGACGATGATAAGAAATGAAAACTGCAAATCCGGCTCTGCCTATTCCCGATCCTGGGGGAGAGGAATTTGCACCAGTGGCAACGTAGTTACGTCATACATTCATATGGTATGCCATGGAATGGAAAAAAAGGCTGAACTTCGCGGTCAAGGGGTTAAACCTCTTGCTTCTTCGTTGGAAGTCTTCGAGTTCACGCTTCAGCCAGAGATCAGCTATCCTCAGACTTCTCACAGTGCATCTTTGATCAAGTAAGTGCGGATTATTAGAGCTTTAAAAAAGTTTATACTCGTAAACCAACATCTTAGCTTTTCTTGAATATGAAATTACTGGAGTTTACTAATGATACGTAGCAATTAATTATCATTTCCAGTTGACAGAATCAGATTACGTAACCAAAGAATAGGTAAGTCTACACTTACATACTTGCAACTTCCATGTTTCAAAATTGTCAAACTTGCAGTCAATGTATTTTTAAACACCTGCAACTCCCATGTGTTAAAATTATCAGCATAAGGGAGTCTTTTCTGTCAATAACACTGAATCGTCGATTCGTTTAGGACGATCCCAGCTATTATTTTTCTGATTTTAAGAACTTCAGAAGTAGACAGTTTCATTGTGGTATCAAGCTTCGTTAGGGCCAAGCCATAGCTCAAGCGGTTAGTCGCTGGCTTCCCACCGCGGCGGCCCGGCTTCCATCCCGGGTCTGATGAAGTGGGATTTGTGGTGGTAAAGTGGCGCTGGGGCAGGTTTTCTCCGAGTACTTCGGTTTCTCCTGCCAATCTTCATTCCACCAATTACTCCACAATCACCCTCACCTATCATCTGTTTCTCCTGCCAATCTTCATTCCACCAATTACTCCACAATCACCCTCACCTATCATCTGGGGCTGGTACACTACTCCAGAAGTGGCCGCCGCAGTACAAGGGACTTAGTCCCACTCCACTAGCAATAAAAAAAAACTTCGTTACGTTATCGGGACGTATTTATTCTTTTTCAAAACTCGGCAAACTTCATGACTGAAGATTGATCAGTGTTTTTGGAACATCAACACCAAAATATTATTAAAAACTGAACTCAGTTGTGGCGAGTTTTCTAGGAGTATTCATCTCCCTCCTCTGGACATACCCTTAACATACAGAGCCGTAGGTAGTCTTTTTGACTATGAGACACACGTCAGAGTTAATTTTCCGCAAATCATGTAACACTTAAAAGTTTCCGACAGCCTTCGGTTATATTTGTGATATATTTGGGAACGCTTTCAATAGACCAGACCATATAACATAGAATGGTTTTTAAGATTTGAGGCTTTCACGGCGGTGACTATGAAGAAATCAGTCTTTTGGGATTTGGCACCGTGTATAAGTGGTGTTAACCGACGTTTCGGAGGAACGTATCGCCTCCCATCTTCAGGGTAGAAGAAAATATAAGAATTCTGCAAGCGAAGAGACCGTGAGAACCGGTAAAAGCAGTCAATTGTGAGGGCTGTGGAACGAAATAGTTGTTGTTCGAAGTAACACCCCATCCAGACACGTTTAAGGACGGACTGAGAGTGCCCAAGAGTACAAATTCGAAACCGTCTCATTAATCACAAGTACTTCTTCAAGCCAATAAATTGTTCGCTGAGTTCAGTTCGCGAGCAATTTTATTCTAACTTTGAATTTCTGATATACACGTATTTTAGCGTGGATAAATACATGTACGATATTTCTCAGTTGCACACAGTCTGCCGATGACTTGTAATGCAACAGAAGTGAGGCCCACACAGCCTATCGAATGGGTACTGGGGGATCTATCCGTTGGGGTAAAACTGCCGGGGCATGAAGCTGACAACTTACCTCCAGCTACTGCCGAGGTCAAGAAATTCTGGATTTATACATCCACACCCCCCATGTCTCCATGGCGTAGTGATTGATTAAGAACGGGAAATTTGTAAGTTTTAATGATAATGCTTCTGAGTACTCCAGTTTGTCCAAGTTACGTAACAGGTGGTCCCAGCTTGGTAAGACTCTTCCTCATTAACGGCCACTAGGCCGTCCAATTAGCACACAAATAATGGACTGAATGATTATCATTATTATTATTCTGCACACTGCAATGTGTCTGTCTTCTTCATTCCTTCTGATCACAACCGTTTATTACAATTATTTTATTAGCATGAAACAATCTTACCACCAGGATCTTCATTTCTATCATCGGACATTTAGTTAATATAATTTGGGTGTTATCAAAATAAAGTGTCCGAGATAACTGGTAGCCTGAGAAATGTTTAATGGTATATTCCGTAGTTCCTGATGATTTAGTGTTCAGAACCACTGGCACCCAAGAAAACATCTTAGTGCTCCGCTCCGTACGCCCCAAAGCACTATTTCAAGTGGATATTTCTGAGTACTTGGGAGATGATGTTAATGGAACGGAGACATAAGTTATTAGCAATGGTTAGAAATGTCGCTATATAAATGAAAAAAAGAATTGTATTTCACCAGACAAAGTGTATTCTGACAACCTCAACAAACTCCCAAGCTTACAAAATTACATACAAGCACACACCATAATTCATGGATACATTTTTGTGAGGCAGTAACGCAGTTTTACCAATATTACTGCCACATAAGAATTTCCTCCACTTTACTGGGACTGTAAAATGACTTACTACATAACTATAAACATTATGAAGTAGAAGATAATTAGTCTTAACTACAATGCNGGTTTAATACAAACAACATCAATGTCTTATTTCCTGCTGATTGAGGGTGTGCAGAACAACCTAGTCTCCTTACTTAGAGCGAGCAAAAGATCAAGAAGAAAAAAAAAGGATATAGGAAGTAACGGACATCTGAACTTTTATTAATAATAATAATAATAGTAATAATTATTTTTTTGTAAATTATTATTAGTATATATTGGACAATGTAACACACAGTAAAAAGGCTAGTTTGAAAATGGGGTGGGCTACATTTACTGGCCTACCTTTATTCAAATTTCACACCACGGACCAGTGAGACATCAATCAGAAAAAATAATCCTCCAAAATAACAGGAAGATTTTACAGATACAAAAAGAAGTGGGCAGATTGTTGTATATATATATATGTATGCACGTATATAATTATTTTTTCTTTTTTTTCTTTTTGGTATCAGATGCCGTAAACTTCCCTCAGTCTCATTTCCCTCAGATACTTGAGGTTTTGCAACATCCTTATTCTTAACTAACTCCTCACTATAATATGCAACTGTGTAATACAGCGAAACAATGATTGAACAATGAAAATAAGAAACAAATCTTTTTACAAATGGATTGAGGGAGATATACAATAATAACAGTTCACTTTACACAAAAAAAATGCACTGCCCTACAAAGGAATATATCACATACAATATAATAGGATTGGTGCATGACGCCATTTTATAAATAGCCATTTAACGGTTTTTGTCATTTTATTAAAAAAACTGCAAACAAGGGATCTTGGATTTTTCTGGGAAAAGTGCCTCAACTATTAACAATTAACTTATTAACAAAGTGTATAATTATTACACCACGAAATGGTTCTGGTGCTGTTGCATCCATCCATCTCCTGCAAAGCCAGCTAACAAACAAAACCAACAGAAGAAAACAAAAACACCTGCCTAACCTAACCTTTGGTCCAATATTTACAAAGCTCAGAAACCTGCTTCCCACCCTAACTATGAATCTCTACCTACCACCAACCTGACCATCCCAGAAATATCCATTCATCCCTGAGTTTTAGTGGCGGGAATTTCAACTCGGTATATGCAAGTCTTGTACAAAGATGACATGAAAAGTGAGAAATATTTTCTTCGTACTATTATGTATGGCCCTACAATGGCTCCTACAAGGGACTACAACATCAGTTTATAACATTATCTAAGAGACTGACACTAAATAATAGTAATAATAATAAACTTCACACAACAACACATAGATTAATAATTATTAATTAAATAATAAATTATTTGGTTTGTAATACAGTTAAAGTGGCACCATCAGTTAAACTGGCTTTGTACCAGAATAAGATCATTAATGGCGTGCTACTGCTGTCTCAGTGTTTCATCATCATCCGTCCCTTGCACTACATGTCCACGCTCAAGCCATATCAGCTTGTCCATACCACTGTCCACTGACAGTTTTGTTTTCTTGGCACAGTGGCGACTGCAGGAACAGGGTTCACACCTTGGTATGTTTGAATCACTGCTGTCACAGCGAGTTTAGGGTTTGGCTTTGTACTATCACGCAGTCGGTGGTGATGGGTCTGTTGCACCATGTCAACAGTCCATCAAGTCGTCCATTGGGTAGAGGAGCTGGCTCAAGCCTCCAGTGAAACAACCTTGTGGGTTACTGTTGCTGCAGGCGATGCCATTGGATGGGGAGATGGGGACTTCTTGGACAGGTTGAGCGGCTGCTGAGAGTCTGCTATGTCCACCTGGAGTTCCATCATCTTTGGTGATGAGATGATTAATGGTGTTGCTCCAGTGGATGAAGGGGACGGGGGACAAGATGCTGCTGCTGGGGGTGTTTTCCGGTGAGGCACAGGGAGGGGTGATGTGGATGATGACGACGCTGCATGATGTGGTGATACGGCATTGCCAGGATGGAAGTAGATTCTTGAGAACTCAGTTTGCTGCAGCTCTGGATGGACAGGTGGGCTAACACTGGAGCCGTTTTGCATCAGAACGTATGTCTGAGGGGGAGGAGCATTCCGCCCGGTGGTTGTGGTGATGACACTGGCACCATTGCTGAAGCCCGAGGAACCCTGCCACCGCCCAACTGCTTGCTGCTGCTGAGGAGGAATGTAGTGGTAGCCAGAGTTCGGCGCTGAACTAGCACAGACAAGAAGGTTTCCGCTGTTTATTTTGTAAGCTGGTACTGTTGTTGTAGACGCCGTTACTGTTGTAGGTGATGCTGCCGAGGGGGAGAACTCGGTGGTCACGTGATTTGGACTGTCTGCACGCATAATGTAGTTGTGGATGATGTCAGTGCGTTTCAGTTGTTCTGCAGTCATTCGAGGACTTTCCATTAATGATTTCGCAAGAGTTGAATGTGTGCTAGATAATGACGACGACGATGATGATAACGATGATGATGATTGCTGTGTGTTTGCGGTTAGGTGTAGGTGAAGTTGTGGCGAAGAGTGATGCTGCTGTTGGGCTGGATGGGGGGGTGGAGGTGGTGACACTTGAACTACCATTGGTTCAGCTTCAGCTGAATCCTTGTTGCGACATGCACGAAACTTCTTGTGCGGTTTGTAAGCCTCATCCATGAGGGAATTGGTGTCATAAAGAGGCGGTGCTTGGAGTACACGTTTCAACACCGGCATGTCATCAATGTGGCTGCTTCCCGAACTTCCACTGTGATGCTTATCATCGTCCTTATCCTCAAGTAATGACCTCGGACTTGAACAGACAGAAGTGGGCGCACTGCCAGTGCTTCCTCCACCACTAGTAAGCTTGTCCAGTTTCTCAGTTCCAGATTCAATACCGGAATCGCTAGGAGAATCCAGTTTCCGCTGGAACCTGTGATGCTGTTGGATTAAGGGTTGACGTGTAGGAGGCGCATTCACGGGGGTTATGGTTAAGCCATGATGGGAGTGGTGGGGGAGCCCAGTCATGTCGTCATCACCTGACGTTGAGCCCGAGTTGGCGCGATGGCGATGAGGACAGATACCACCAGCCAGAGTTGCTGCAAGGAGTGGTGCACTAGACGCTTGGTGGCTCACGTGGTGATGGCTGGACTGGTATTCTGTGAGGGACGCTACTTCACCAGAACACACTGACTCTGTGCTGGACACAGAGCCAAGCGGGCTTTTCACCGCTTCGTCCATCGTCACATCTGATGATGACGACCAGGATGAGGAACCAGCAGGACTCTTGCTGTTGCTCTCTTCCTCTGCTGGTACTCCCCACAGATGATGTTGCTGCTGCTGTTGCTGTTGTTGCAGCTGCTGCTGCTGCTCCGTCATTTTGAAGGCCAGCAGTTTCTCTGAATGAAGAGTATTGAGCGTCCTCAAGTCCGGAATCTTCTTCATAAGCTCGTGGCAGATATTGGCATGGCCCGGGTGATTCTGGCTCACCACCAGCTGCATAGCGGCCTTCAGCTTGCCTTGCATACGTTCGATAAGCTCCGTGTTGCGCAGGCCAGGACGGTCTGGAGCGATCACCACCACTGAACAGAACAGACCCACTTCGGCGTCTGATAATCTTAGCGAGTTCAGACGCTCAGCAAAGTCGAACATCGAGTCCATGAGGAATCTCGCATTGGAACTGTTGTGGATGGCCTCTCGCTTCAGCACCTGCCCGTTCAGGCAGATCATGCTGTTCGTCTGTAAGGAAGAAGGAACGCCAACGTATTAGCTGTTCACGATCCTTCCACTTATTACTTTGTATTGAAGAAGTAGGATCTGCAACTTGTACATTACGAATAAACTCACCTGGGCGTCGAACATGCAGGCAAGACGCACAAGTAGTACTTCAAATACGCCAGCCTTGAGCAGCGTGACCTGGTCGTCCTGCGGCAGGAGCGCAAAACCGGGAATGCGCTTTGCGAATTCTACCACACCGCGGATGGCTGGTGAGAATCTCTTTGAGAAATCTTGAAGAAGCTCTTGTTGCCCTGTCAGCGGCTGTGGATTTGGGTTTAGAGGGCATGCCTGAAACATAAAACGTACCCCCATCCATCAGATAAAACGCGTCTAACACTAGTTTAACAAAATCATGATAAGGAATGTGCAATTTATGAGGATGCGCAGGTAAACCTCACACGCTGTATTACCAATAAAAGCGTTCTATACCACTCTTACGGAGTTCATACCATTCGACGCAGGAATTTTGAATACTGCAAAGTTGGTCCTACTGTTTGTCATTTTACATCGTTTTAAAACGGTTCGATACACGAATCATTTCTAATGAAAATTCCCCTGCACGCACTTCAAGGGTCTTATCGGCAACTCCGCTAACGAACCTGAGCCGTAAGTCTTTGGATGTCTCTTGGGGCATTCGCCTCTTCGCAATGCCAGCCAAGCCTGCCACTGAACCAGCCTGGTCTAGACAACTTTATTACGCAGGGAGAGGCGATATATTTCAGCCTGCCACAGGACTAACGCAGCTGGAGGCCACAAACATCTGTCGTGTGCAGGGTTGCGCATTCCTACCCACCCTGCTGTAACTTGAGCGGCGTTGACGTCACGGGAAGAGTGAGACAGATCCAATGACTAAACCGGGCAGAGGATGTGTGACCTTTGTCTGTCCGGCCTACAGCACAGTGCCAGCTTACCGTGCGAGCCAAGGTTAACTTACCTCTACAATTCAACGGGATCAATACGCCTGGCTACAAATGCATGCTATAAAGCAGGCTTCCAGGAGTTTAAGGTCAGACCACTTCTATTTTCTGACACGACAGAAAATAACAAAGTATCAAGCCCACCCTCCTGACACAATGAAGTAATTCAAAACCGGTCCAAAATTATCACAATCCGATTACACGTCTGCTGCTGCTGCATGGCAAAGGAACACGCATAATAATAATAATAATAATAATAATAATAATAATAATAATAATAATAATAATAATAATAATAATACATTCCGATGTAACTGATGTATACCACGTCGCTGGTGAATATTAACCCTTCGCGCATGGTAGACCATAAATGCTTTTTTTACTCTGCAGTATTTCGATAAAGCATCTATTATGTCGACCGTACGACCCATCTCCTGTGAATAAAAGTTTTGATTCCAACTTCTCATTTCGTACTTTTTACCGGTGTATGCAATCTGGCAACCTCCAGTCAGCCTAAGAGCAACTTAATTCAAGGTCTTTGGCCCCCGCGTCATCTCTTGGAGAGACATCAAAATCTAAGCGACCAAAAAAAACTGTCAAGTCACTGTCTACTGTAACATTCACACACGGAGACAAAAATATCCTTACAGGAATTCACCTCCTGTTGACAAGTCAAAACTTTTTATAAAACGAGTCAAAATTTCAAAACCCCATGGGCTCTACCAGGTTTGTGGTCTTTTCTAAAATTCAGGAATTATCACTGCGCGGTGAAAAATGAAACTTGACACGCCCTACATAAAACAAGATTCCTTCCGTACAACTGCAAATTCCAAATTGGTGCCGTGTTTTTGCGTTAGTTTTCCTTTCCCCATAACAAACAAACAAACGGTAGGGGTAACAACTTCCTCTGGGTTTGTATTGGCTACACCACGCGATTTCAGAAGCCCCCCCCCACTGCACCGCACTACGTCTGAATGAAGTTCAAAATGTGATACGTGGCATATTTACACTTAACTGATGACGCACAACGTTTCACCATTACATTGACCTTGGGAAACGAAACCCGATAATAAAATAAAACCCACGAAAAACAAAAGAGACAGAATAGCTTTACTGTCTCTATCTGGTGTTGCAACCTTGAATGTTTCCGCTTGTCCCTAGTCCTCGCAAGGTCAGCCGGTCTGGATATATTGTAATAGTTGTGCCTTTGTTCTGACCCCTAATAGCTTGATGCTCCTGCTGCATTCGCCTCCTCGGTGGCGTAGCCACCCCCATTTCCTTCCGTCCTCAACTTCCTCGCTCACAAACCTGAAGTTTTCATATCCGTAACGCAGGGACTTAATCATGGGCAAAGTCGGCCGATCTTTGTTCCCGCTTTCCTTCCTCATTCACGAAACGTCACAGTGAGGGACTACGTCATAAACCGTACCGAAAAAAGCAACACGCTAGACCCTTTAGAAGCTGCCGGGTTCGAATCCCGGACGAGATATCGAGTAGGTGACTTTCATCTGTCCCTCGAAGCGAATTTCTGGACAGAACCTTGAAATAGATTTTCTCCTCCCAAATCCTTACCTGTTCACCCTTAATGACCATCATTCTATCGCGTCAATAACATACGCGCTCTGCCGTTAAAATTCCAGGAAGCAAAACCCTTTTCGAGAAGCTAGCAGTCGTTCAGTTTGTCAAGAAACGCAAGCGTTTTACAAACGCGAAAGGTTCATTTTCGTGCTCACAACCGCCCACCAATGATCCCTCTCCTGAGCCAGATTAAACTAGGCCATACTGTCATACTCACTTATTTGGAGTTTAATTTCGATTTTATGTTCGCATCTATGTCTAGGTCTCCAATGTATCTCTTTCTTCCGGTTTTCAGACTACAACTCTGTACGTATTTATCACCTCCCCCTAATAACATTAGTTTAAAAGTACAAATTATTTGGCTTATCACTGTGCAACGATCTATAGCCTCATCTCTTTCTGGTTCAAATGCTCCTCTCAGCACCCTGTTCTCGAACACCTTTAATTCATGTTATTTCCCTTAATGTCGGAACCTTTGTTTCACACCCACAAAAAAAAAAAAATACAGACAAAACTGCAGTTCTGCGGTCAGATTTTACGATTACGAATATATGACAAATATTCTGAACTGAAACATCGTTAAATGAAAAGTACTATATGCCCTGGGATATAACGCCGTGCAGTCTGCTGAAAATCAACCGACGTTTCGTAGGAACATATCCCCTGCATCTTCAGGGTCTAAAAGGTACCAGCGTGAAAGCAGGTGGCAAGCAGAGCTTTCTTCCGTAATGTCCGTTGACTTTCAACGGACTACACGTCTGTTATATCCCAGAAGGCAGAACTCATCCTTAATAACGACGTCTGTGAGAACCTCAAACCCTTATCGTTAGAAACCCAGTGAATTAATTCAAAGTTACAGAACCGAATGCACAATGCGTCACGAGTAATGTAAGTAGACCGGCCAACTTGTAGCCTTGGATCTGTCTAAACACATCTCCAAATATTGTCCGACCTTGGGTTACTTCTTTCCACCGTACGGCTATCAACGTCCTAATTTATTTGTCTGTGTCTGCTGATGCATAACAATATTTATCTTCGAGAAGTAACTTGTCGTGACGAGGTTCGGGCGCTACTGCGGTGAAGCTGCTCATTACAGATAATCCCAAAGAGGAAACAGCCTCAAGGTCGTGTTCACAATGCCATTTCCGCAAGTGGGAAGGTTCACGCGGGTAAATTTCCCTTGCAGCGTTTTGCGATTAGCAACTTGGAGGCCCACTAACTAGGCTAACGCGACCCCGTGTTACTAATGCTGACTACTTCCGGATTATAAAATTACGGAACTCTGGCAAAGCATTGATACCGCCTTTGCTATTGAATCTGAACTTCCATTTCAAGAACTTTATCTTAAGCCGACTTCTTTAGGCTTATTTACGTAGATTGGGCGTGTAAATGTCTACTTCTTTCTCTTCCTTCTGTAGGGGCGGTTTCGAAGAGGCAGACGGGGGGGGGCAACATTACGGGATTGAGGGGCCGGGGCTCTGACGGATATTCCTAGTTCGTCAGGGCATTTGTTACGCTCAATCCTGACAGGCCTCGCTCAAATTCGTCAGTTTAAGTAATGCAAATAAAAACACTAACACGCGTATGGCTAATAAAATATGTTCAACAGCCGTTCAACTTACGATACCGGCTCTTTAAATTCAGTATCACATTGTTCAATGTGTCTCATCCCGAAGCTCTGAACACACCTGATTCACGTCTACACCGCTGTGTAATTATTCGGCTGAGGAAAAAAACATTAATTACTGTACAAGTACGGTATCGAGAAATGAAGGCAGGTGATCAAGGCAACATTCCCAGAGGCCCAGACGGCCAGACACTATCACTGCTTAATTCGATTCTATTCTCTCAGAATTCTGTATTTACTGCGGACTTCCACGATTACAAACAATAATATACTTTATGACAGCTCATAATGCGTGTGTCAATGTATGTTTACTGTGTTTTCTGAATAGGACACACTGCATGATGTTATGAAATAATGTAAAATCAACATACGAGTACATACAATGCATGCCACTTACGAATATTCCTAATATACTCGTATATTAGGAATGAAACTCTTGGCCCTGTCTAAAATTTCACGAACATATTAATTCAATTCATCCCTTACTTTCGGTCCTGTCTAGAATTTCATACACATTTTCATTCAGCTCATCCCTTACGTTTGGGCCCTGTATAAAATTTCACTAACATATTAGTTCAATTCATCCCTTACTTTTGGGCCCTGTCTAGAATTTCACAGCTCATCCCTTACTTTTGGGCCCTGTATAAAATTTCACTAACATATTAGTTCAATTCATCCCTTACTTTTGGGCCCTGTATAAAAGTTCACTAACATATTAGTTCAATTCATCCCTTACTTTTGGGCCCTGCCTAGAATTTTACATATTAACTGAATTTATCCCTTACTTTTGGGCCCTGCATAGAATTTTACATATTTGCTGAATTTATCCCTTACTTTTGGGCCCTGCATAGAATTTCACATACATTTTAGTTCAATTTATCCCTTACTTTTGGACCTTGCCCAGAATTTCACATCATTTAGTTCAGCTCATATTTACTTCGAACGGCAGAAGGAAGTGAGACAGTTAACTTACCAGAGTTGGTGGGCAGGCGGTGTAGGACGGTTGGTCGCGGGCGCGGGCCAGCATGGGCTCCACTTTGTCCCGCGTGAAGTCGCACGTGTCCAGGTGGGCACGGATCACAGTGCTCAATAACCGCTGTTCGTCTTCAAGTTCTGCAGCCACTGCCTTCTCCTGTGACCGCGAGTTTGAACTCTGCTGCATTGCCGCCAAAATACGTGCCTTCTCACGTTTCGGCACGCGCCCGAACCGCACGGCTGAAGCAAAAGAGATGGGCCCGATGAACAAGACATTTCGCCACAACCACCGGTGTACAAAGAATACAACCGCACAACCGAAAACCAAGCCACTTTATATCGATACGCTACAATCACGTGTACTGAGAATTCCATTCTGTGGTGAAAAATCAACATAAAAATATCCTTAAAAAATAATCTGCACTGTCGGTACACATTTGCCCCCTTTTGACAAAATACATCTTTTTCAAACCAAATAATATGACGACAAACTTATACTGTATTTACATGTTCTAAAACGTGCTTCAACATCGCCTGTTAACACGCCCCTACGCCGCACGGTGACGCATGAATTCTAAGCAAGCATAAACAGCAAATTAAGATCAAACACATACTGCTGTTATTCTCGGCTGCTGTTGTCTCCAGTACGCTTCATAAAACTACAGTAATTCTTTTCCTGTTATAAAGTTTATAATTAATTCCTTGAAATCTTTTTGTGTAGGCTACTTGTATAGATCTACATTTCCCCCTACGCCTTCAAGGCGTAGTGTTTAATTAATTAAGCGCAGGGAAAACTTCACCTTTTTTACCTTACTTGTACATGTTCCGCCCGTAAAGTGTTCTTCCCCATAAGATGGCGTTATTATAACATTAACATTCTTGTAAGCACTATTAACCTATTTTAAGCGGAACTAAGATGCTGTTGTCTCCGCAACTTCCACAGTGCATCCCAGGCTATAATGTGTTTTAAAGAGTCTTAACGACAACAGTAATTAAAAGTCAAAATGGGCCCTACGGCGACTGCTGGAGCCCGGTGTTTGTAATTTCGCCAGGTGCACGAGGCGTCATTATGTAGCACAACAATAGTGGCAACGACCGACCCAGGGAGGCTAGGCGCGTGGCCGGGTCTCCCTCTGCATCTGCCGCAGGAAACATCTGCCTCTCTCGTTGTCAACCGTTACAGCCACCCTTCAAACAACACGCGCCCTCCTGAATCACACACACTCACCACCTATAACCGAGTATGTAATTTTCAGCCATCAAAACAATTTGTTTTATGTTAATTCCGAAAACAGCAACTCATATTCCATGTAAGAGGAATTCTGTCCAACGTCTCCCCTTTAAGCGCCGAAACACACGAATTTTTTATTTCTTAAATAAGGGCAGTTGATTAATCTGCCATTATAGTTAAGCCCAATGCGTTTACGAATTACATCTCAGATCAATATTTCGACTACAAAGATCCTGTATTATAAGCACTGTTGTCGGGGTCAGTTTTGCTGTCAATCCTCGTATCTACACGCTTCGATGTTGGGGAGTGGCAATATTCCTTCACTATTCCTACACACCCGTCAACTGTCTCCCCCACCCGGCTTCTAACCTGTAAATCAATTAAGTATCGGTACAGAAACAGGAAAAAAAAAATTAGTTTCGCTTGCTCAAATTCGTATTTGATGCGGTGCTGTATGTAGGCTACGTGAAGAGAAAGCGAAAACCCGGGCAACAAGATTCACTTTCACACGCTGTAGCAGGTACTATGAAAGTAGGCTGGGTCAGCCGATAGAAAGTGACTGCGCGGGAGAGATTACAACGGCGCGTTTTCCAGGCCGGCGGTCATGTTTTCACTTAACACTCCCCTTTTACATTCTGACAACCGACTAGGTTCATGTCACAGAACTATCGTATTTTATACTGTTCTGTATGCCTTAAAAATGTACTGTGCAGTTAGTCACCATGACCTTTTAATGATCTGGTTACAGAAAATCAACGCTACTAACCAGTACACGCGCGCAAACTAGAAAACTTGTCGAATTTCATGAACATGTTAAAACTCTCGAACTGCCACAAACAAAGAAGAGCTACCTACGTGCATTGTGGTATTTGACTTCGCCATTTAAAATCCCTTTCAATATGGGTAACTCATCCATTTCCGGATTATCTTGATATGTGATTGTCCCAGTTTTCACTTCCACTGTAGGTCACTAATCACAGACACACACACTCACACCACTGATATTAACAGTAAACACACGCGATCACATGGGGCTCCATAATCCCAGCACGAGGATGCAGATGACTTAGTCCGGCTCGTCAACGCTCTCATCGGCTCCTGCTCGGCCGCACCAGCAGCGTTCCCTAGCACTGACTACTGAATGCGCCGCTACGATTCCTGTCAGCCCACGGCCACGTTCCCCCCGCCGGGTCGCCACATACGCTTCTTTACCGCCACCCGCCCTCCCCGCCTCTCACTCCCACGTTCCCCCCTCCACCGTAATCATCATTGCTTCCATTCTTGATTACCCTTGAACTTGCTTTCAACAACAGCCAGTAGAGCTTGCCGGGTATCTGCTGACAATAGCCCATGGTCGACCTACATACGGGATGCGGTTCCCCTCAGCGCGGACATCACACCCCCCCCACTGCCCTCCCCTTACATAAACCTTCAGAACGAAACGTATGATCTGCCGCCAGTCACGCTGTAAGCCGGGGGGGGGCTCAGACATCCAATTCATGGTCACACAACAGACCATCTCGCCAAGTCTTTGCCCTTTTAATATTACGATTCCAATATTGTTTCCAATAATCAAATTATTAACTCCATGTAGCAGAGCCCCTCTCGAGTATCTAACAGTCTCTTAACCAGTCGAAAAGTTCCCAAAATGTTATGGGACTCCAATGATTCATCACCGTGAATTCATAAGGGCACTCCACCGATCCTTAACCTGTGACAGATTAATCTACTATACATCCTCAGACCCCGTTTTCAGCTTCTGTTTTAATATTATCTTCCGCATTACGTCAGGCTCTCAAGTGGCGGTTTTCCTTCAGGTTTTCCGACTAAAATTTTGTGCTCATTTCTCATTTCTGCCACGTGTGTTAATCATCCTCTTGGACTTCACATTCTAATATTTGGTGAAAATTAGTAATTATGAAGCTCAACATGTTGTAGTTTTTCCTCCACCCCATCCCCCCTGCTACCACCCATTGTGTCCGGTCCAAATATTTTCTTCATCAGTGCTTTTACTTACTCTCAATCTATGCTCTTCCCTTTGAGTAATTAACCACGTTTCACACCCATACAAAACAACCAATTACTTGATCTTCCGGCATGACCTATCTCAGGTTAAATTTTGGATAGAAGAGAAGGAAATCGAATCTGCTCCCCCATGAGTCAGCAACAGGCATTCACGCGCAGGGTGGCGGCTTATATCAGTGGGGCGCGCGCAGGCGGCCATGCGCTTTAATCGTGCGGTTGATTTTTAATCTCAGGCTATTACGAGTTTCCAGCAACTGGAGAAGTCGTGGCCCCAGCACTTCAGAACCACTGGCCAGATAGTGCACTATATCCTTCCATTATAAGTATTACAACAAAGATTTCACAGTGCAGTCGATTGTTTTCTCACCTACCATGTCTCGAGACGGCAACGCTATTTTGAAGAAAGGCAATTAGTAAATCACGTGGTGGGGTAAACAAGCAGTGAAGGCCCATAGGGGTTCGAGACGTCGAGGCCCCCACATTTATTACACAGTTACGTGCAGGCAATCTAGGGACAATACATGACGTACATGACTATATGACAAGTCTCCTGGATATCTGAATCTTACTTCTGTAAATTGTAACCTAATCTAAATCCCGAAGGTCGCTGTGATATCCAGATCACTTGTTTAGCGTGTCGTGCAGTACCTCGAGCTTCTTCGATTACCGACTCTGCCGACGTACTTTCCACTTCGTTCCCTACAATGCCGTGAGATAGCACCACGGAATCAACTGCAGCGGTGTAATATGGTACTAACAGGGGTCACGTAGCGGTATCTCATACTACACGGGCAAACGAAAGAACTAAATGTCACTAACCTTCCGCTTAATAACTTTTCCTAAATCGACTGAAAGGACATTTTGAATTAAATTACTCCCCCTACAACATGTTTATGCATTTCGTTTGACTGTCAGAATAAAGAGAAACCATTTCCTTAAACAGCATTTCCCTGCTAGGGAGACGCTGAGTATTTTATGTGAGGTGGAGATGAACTACTAAATATTATTTAGATGAACTTCGTGCTTTTACGTGTTAAAAATAGTAAAAAATTGACCCACTGCAGTACATAACATTATTATTAACGAAATTTATTTCCTCTTTCACGGCAGGATTACTAATACACTTTTATGTGATCTGAAAGAGATGTGGAGAAGTCACTCCATGGTACAGCCCTTGAGAAACTGACAGTCGCTCAGTTGGTCATTTTCCGTCGTTTATGGAATCGAAATGTTCACAAGAGCTTTCATCTGTCTGTCTGTCCGCCCATCCATCTATCTATCTATCTATCTATCTATCTATCTATCTATCTATCTATCCATCATTCTATGTATCTATCTACCGAAATTCCTGTTGCTTACACTTGGGGCATAGGGCATTCGCTAAACGCTTCAATTTCTTAATCTTAGACAGTCCGTAAGACTCCTTCGCAGAGTGATCAGCCCATCGCAAGGACGCTACCTGCAAACAAATACAGAATAAACGCATGCAAACACCCATTCTTTGAGTGGGATTCGAACTCACGATCCAAGACATTTTATGCCTTAGATCGCGCGGCCGCTGTGACCAGCGCTTCATACATACGGACAAATTATTATTAATAAAATCAGAGTTAAAGGTACATTTACAGAGGAGAGCCCGCCGTCGCAAAAGGATTTACGAGCACTGAAAAACTGCTTTTTCGGTTAAGCATTTGCGTATGACAATATAAACCTCTAAATTAAGGGCAGGTCAACTTTCTATTAGGTAACAGGAAGTAATGTTTTATTTTGTTTCCCAAGCCACGCCTTCTCTCAAGCTGCTACTTTCCCCAGCACCCCGCGTATGGAGTTATCAATTTTCACTTTTGCTTTTAGCCTACTTTTAAGTAGAGATAAATTTCTCAGGCTGGTCTCATGCATAATGCCATGTCTTTACTAATACATCGCGAACACAACAATTAGTTTCTTAAACGCCTGCACTTGGAATCGTAAGGACTAATTTCAAATCTCGTTTCAACGACACTTACTACTCACCAAGCCACGTACACGTCATACTAATTATTATATTGTATAGGCAAAGCTACCTCTGCGCCTAAGCACGTCAGAGAGACAAATGGGGAAGTGGGGATAAACCTTCACGCATTCTTAACCTCGGTACTACATGGAAGTGAGTGTTCAGCCGTAAAATATAGGCCTCATTCGTTAAAGTGCAACATGATCAAATTATTTTACTAACATCCATGAAACACGTAAAAATCGTTAATATTTATGCGAAATGCACATGAAATTCCCCATTAATGCCCCCGGCCGCTGTTGACACTCCTCAAAGCCCAATTATTTGAAACTGCAAGTAATTACTTTAAATATAAATTTGACTGTTCCTTCACTAATCACAAAAATGCGCATCTGTCATGTTAATAAAATAATACTGTTCTACTAAATACAAAATACAATAATTAAATCACTAGTTTAATCACATAGTCTATGAGATATTTATTTACCGGGTGTTTAAGTCTGTGTTGCTATCACCGATATTTGCCGTGTGCACACAAACCGCGGCTATGTGAAACAAAATACCACTATTCACAAATGCAAACCCGTGGCTAGCGAGTAATTGCTGGACTACCAGTGAGCGTAAAGCAGTTCGATCAACATGTCAACTGCATACATAGTATTCCCATAGTTTATATTGCATTCATTTCTTCGCGCTTTTAATCTCAACTCATGGCAGATACACCGCTATTGCAATAAGTCGCAGGACTCGTAAATAATTCTCGAAAGACCAACATTATTTACATCTCATTCAACTTACACAAAATCTGCTAAGTCACAAAATGACTAGATACGAATGAGTTACTTCGGTTCGTTTCCTGAAAGTGACAGCATTCAAACTGGCTCTGAGACCAAAGTAGGTTCCTAAACCAACGAGTACAGAAGGTTCTAACCCGGAGACAAGGCGGCCAGAGCTTGAATTTCACGCTCGTCTTTATCTAGTGGCGGGGTAAAGATCTCTCGAAATTATATTTCCACTTCCCAGTAAATCTTCACAGCATAGTGCTTCAATTAAGCACTAGATCGATTTCTTTTACATAAAATGTTACAGTTTTATTGCTGGTGATATTTCAAAGCCCTTTTCATTTGCCCCTTCAGTGAATTAGGAACTGCAGATTAAGGTTTCATGCACAATATCGCTCATAATGTAAGAATATGCTACCTGTATAAGCCTGGATGGGTTTTCATAAGATTTGGTTTGGACATTATGTTATTCATGTGTGCCCAAAACTGGCAATTTTAATTTCTGACACTCAGTAATATTAACACGACCATGTGAGGCAGGAAAGGCACAAGCGTCATTAATATATGGTCTTATTACTGTGTATGGTAACATTTCTTTGGAAAACATGCAACTTTTATTACTGGTTTTTCTTGTTATTATTATTGAGGGTGGTGAGTAATGAATCACTGGATCTGGACAAGTAAAATTCGGTACAGAGAGAGCTCATACGCATGCCTACAGAATCTATATTAAGTGAACAATAAAAACATGGCAATGGTGCCAGTCTTTGCTGTATGTGCGAAGAAAATGTATTTGTAACAGTTATGAGCTTCCAGAACGCACGTTGGAAAGTTGTATATTCCAGTATGGACTACACCTATCCAACCTTGCTATAAATTTAGACGGGAGTCAGTTCTGAGAGGTATTGGGCACAAGACTTGCTCAAGAAATTTCTTACATCAATCACACAGACGCAATCATAAAAGATCACGATTTTATGACCTCAACAAAGTTTCAGTAGCCAAACAGAAATGTAGGCTATTACATAACGGCTTGCTAGTTAGGATTATGTTACGAAGGCGCTGCAATAACTGCCGAGTATGTGGTTGCAGTTTGTTGATGGAAACAACTTTCGAATCTGTCGCGTCGCGTCGCGTCATATGGCCAGGTGACCCACTGAACGCAGTACCGAGGTGAATGAACCTTCCTCTGTTTCTCACTACTTTCGCATCAACTGTCCACGTAACAAGTGATTCCAGGAGACTGTACTGTCATAACTGCATTACGTCACACTGAAACGTAGCTGCCACAGGATTGAAACAGTTACAGATTTGTATTTCAGCGTCATATTGTGTGTGTACAAGTCAGCGTTATGTTCAATCGCCACAATAACAAGTGAACGTACGTACCTAACCATGGCAAGAAATGGTCGAAACATGTGTAGCTATACACACTGCTGTGTTGACTGAACACGGCGATACTGTCTTACAAATTTGTTTCCCTTTTCCCTTCCTCAGTATTATAGAGAGGCAAGGTGGTACAGAATTTTATATTTGTGAACAAACAAAATTTGGAACTACTTGACCTACATAATGGAACATTCAGTGTGCGAATTCTTTTTTACATTGTCTCTAATACTGAAAATTTATCACCAAGAAGCTACACATAAATTAATCTGTCAAATAGATTCTAAAGGGTTCTGACGATGGTGTATAATAATCAGAATTGTTTTTTTTTTACTTTTTCCGTCGTACGGTGTTCTAAAAATTAGGAAACACAACGTTTCGGAAAGTGGATCTGTTTCCGTCCTCAGGTGAGTGGGGAAACACCTACTCTGTTGGGTTAGCTCTTTCTAAGTGTGGATATAAACAAGATTATTTTGTGTCGAGTGATTAAATATTGCTATTTACGAAGCGGTTCGTGTTAACAATGCAATAATTGAAGTAGCAGAGAACAGCACAGTTCAATACCTATATGGGACATACACGAGACATCTGTCTGGGCGCGCGCATATTCTAACCGAGTAGTCAGTCGAAGACTAATATATTCCGGGATGTTACACACCTTGTTGTCCGGTAGAAATGTAGCGATGTTTCGGAGGTACATAATGCCTCCATCTTCAGGGCTTAACCTAGGAAATTTTCTACCAGACTACACGGCATAACACTACAAAAGACAGTAATACTCCTCATAGTCACCAATGTGAGAACCTCAAATATGAGGAGTTCGTTTCATTGTGGGTCAGGACTTTATGACTCGTACAATTGACCATTACGTTAAACAGAGTGAGCATTGAAGGAAAGAGCTTACCGTCTCTACTCATGCCGACAGCAATGCACTTCTTCAACCTGCAGTATTGGCAGCGGTTCCTGTTGATTCTCAGGATTGAACACTGCTGATTCTTGGTGCAAGGGCGGTATTGGATCTTCTGTTGGATACTGCGTCGGAAAAACCCCTGCGAAGAAGGCGGAACACTAGAATCAATCTGATGATGTTCACAGTCGGATACACACTGTACACCACTATTCTTATTAAGGGTCTGTAGACTCTCTTCAGCACCACTATTGTCGCGATGAGTAAAATCATGTAACGATTCCGTATAGGTCATAATAGCCATGTCACTGTCATAAAGAAAACATCCCACGGAAGGGACAAACGCCTTTGGCAACTATTATTAATAAATAATATGGTCTAACACTCTTTCTTATATTCCAATTGTGTTCACTTGGAGATCTAGCACACTATATGCAGCCAAAGTCACTGTTCGCTTCCCTCACGGGAATTTATCTCCCTGTATTGATAAGCGTTGGCACAAGCCTCAGACCATGCACGTTGCGTTCGATCCGTGATAGCAGCCTGACTGAAATGAACTCAGCTTCAGCCAGGACTCGGTAAGGGAAGACGCGGGGAACAGAGGGGGACCGAGTTCATCTACAGTTAGATCGGTTGTGACCCAGTTCCCGGTCGTTCACCCTCTCTCGGTCTGTTGCATGCCCTGCTAGCAAAATGAACCGAGGCCAGTCCACGCCATGAAAGCGAGAGTATCCCCCCTCCCCCTCACTCATTTCTCTCTTTCTCTCTATATCCGTCTCTGTCATACTAGTTAAAGTCGGCCTGTAAAGAGAGACAGAAACTGATTTCGTCATTCTCGTTGTAAACTGCTGCTACTAGTGTGTTTGTGCGTGCGTGTAACGGTACGGTTCTGAGGCCTACATTTTCTCTGTCCTCATCTCCTGCGTCATTCGTTGTTTGGCCGTGGAGTAACAAAGTTCCATACCTCTCGTCCCCTTAATGAATTAGGTCAAGAAAATCCACACTGTGAAACTTTGTCTTTGCCCTTCGTGAATTTTTGACAAACAGCATACCTCAATACTCCGACACGGTTTCAAGTACAATACATCAACGTAACGGCACTTCCAAAAGGACAGCGGTGGTGGTGTTTATGCGAGTGTAAGAAAACAACTCATGAAATGAATAATATTACATTATAGCATCCTGTTGCACCTAATGTAGATTAGTGTTTTACACGCTCACGTCCAACATTATGTTCTATAAAATGTATTAAAATTTATTCGCTTTAGAAGTTTTAAAAGTCCAGCACTACATGCTTCGACTAGTGTGGTCATCATCGGATGTTAAAATTATTTGACGAGGAAACTGCCGTCTTCTGTTGTTGCTTGTGTTGTTAAATATATATATAGGTCCTCTTGGTGCGCATATGTTTTTTCAGTTGGTGGGTTGCATTCTTTCCCGTTGTGGAGGTGAGTTTTAACACCTGATGATGACCACATTTGTTGAAACATGTAGTGAATAATTTTACTACATTTTGTAGAACACAGTGTTGCAACGTGATACTGTAAAACACCTAATCGACACTCATGAAATGAAGATGTCTGGCTGCTGGGAACTAACGCTATGCAGTACGCTGAAAGTTCGGAGGAACACGTCACCTCCACCTTCAGGATGAAAGAATAAGGCAAGCAAGTTGTGGTCATGTCCTAATTGAGGTGTTGTCCTGACATTTACCTGGAGAGACTGAGAAAAACTATGTAAAACTTCGGTGGGGATAATCGATGTCCGTTGTTTGCTACCTCCTTCATGTTGATTTGTTGTTTGGATATTCTTCGGCATTGGAAATGAAGCCGACACGTTTCTCCGAAACGTCGGTTGATTTTCAACGGACTGTACAGCGTTACATCCCGAAAGACCACTTTTGTGAGAGCCTCAAGTCCTGCAATCTATCCCCTAAAATTGAGCCAACAAAACTAAGTATTTTGTTATAGACAAATGGGTCCAAATTCACAGGTTTGTGCAGTAACAGCCCTGTCACTAAAATAACTGGATTCATCTAAGGGTGGAAAAGTTCTGATCTTCATCATTACCACTTCCAGGATTGTCCTTGTAAGAGTCCTAAACATGGGAAAGAACAAATAACTAATTCCCATCTAGCACTGAGATTAAGAAAGAGGGCAATTTTACCTCTAAGTCACAATCTGTATACGATGCACATGGGATTTTTTTTACGGACAAGTCAGCCACGCTACTGACTAAATGGTGATCTCATCATTACATAACACATTCATGTCCATTACCAATATCAATTATTTCAGAATTGCTGGCTGTGCTCATAATATTAAAACCTACGGCTAAGGCGTGACGCGTTCTCGCTAAATACACTGTACATCTGCATAGCGATATTAATTTGAAGTAAACTGATACGTCATTGGCCCAGTCTGTAGGAATAAAACCGAGGATGTGTAAGAAGAACCGAAAATCATGTGCCCAGACTTCATTACATGATTATTATTATTAGCCACGGTATTAGCACTGTTACCGTTATAAGAATTATTCCTCGAATTACTGTTACAGAGCTTATATCTTAGATTAGACATGATCTTCATTTCTAAGGTTCAAAATTTCAGCAGTTAAACCTTTGCATAAATTTGGGCAGTGTTCCATTGACGTTTAAATCATTCCTCAGGTTCTGGTCCGAGTTCTTTCCACTTGAATCTCAAATGATCCTATTTCTAGGCGTAAGTTTCGAGCTGTTGCGATTTTATTGACCTGCGCAAAGTTCCAAGTCTTCTGTAATGAATCCGTGTAGTGTCGACCCTGCATCGAACCAAATTTTTTTTGAGGCCTTCTGTTATTACTCCTGTACTGCTAAGAACAACCGGAACCGCGCTGAATTTGATTGGGGCTTAGAGTCTGCATAATTTCCCACACATTTGTCATGAAACAGTACAGAGCGAAGTCTCAATCTGAAGCCTACTTTCCTTCCTTAAAAAAATGTATTCCCACCTCTTGCAATTATTGAAGCATTTGACCGATTTTCACTAAACGCCGTAAAGACATTATGCCATAGAGGCAACTCCAGCAACTCCTACAATCAGCAATAACAGCATGGTGGGCGTGCGAACTTGTGAAGCGCCAGTACCGTCGCTTACGTTAGGGTAAAGAAGTGATATATGGCAATAGATCTTGCGAAAGAATGCAAATTTTATTAAGTTGGTATTTTTTAAGTAATATAAAAACATGGTGATCGTGCGAACATTTTCTTTAGCGTTTCGTTCGATAGAGAGAACTCAGTGGAAGTAGGCAGGTCAAATACGGCAGAGATAGATTATGAACTCACATATGTGTTATGTGTGAAGTAAAACGTAAAGTTGTCGCTGTGCTTAATTAATTAAGCACAGGGACAATGAATTAATGAAGACGAATGGGGGAGTTGATGTATAGATCCACGTTTTTAGTGACGCCGACACTAGTTGGAGGTGGGTGGTAAGCTTCACGCCCTTGCCGCTTTACCCCGGGGAAAGAGCCGCCGGTACCCATTGGACAGGACGCTGTGTGAGCACCAGAGTCAGTCTGGACGCTGTTGCGTATTGGTTCTTAAGTAAGCAGTTGTAAACGTGTAAAACAGATTTAACGTATACGAGTCTGTATTTAAGCAATAAGCTGTTCACAGAAATACAATAGTAACAATAATACCAGAGCAATAGATTTATTGGACTAGAAACCAATGGAACATTAAACAGACACTATGAGTTATGATTGGAATTTCTAGTTATTTGACGTTATTTAACGTGTATGAAATTCTTTATTTCAGGTCTGGATTATGAACATGAATATTTAAATTATTTTCTTTAAATTATCTTAATAACAAGGCCAGGCAAGATACTGAGCAATCAAGTGCGCCTTGTATCTGCAACCGTTTTATCAATGTAGTATTTCAAGATTTCACAGCGATGAGTATGAAGAATGCCGTCTTCCGAGATGTGGCGTCGTGTAGATCTTGTGTGAACCGACGTTTCGGAGGAACGCCACCTGCCGACGCTGGTTCCCCGCTCGCGGATTTATCTACCCTGGATATGGGGGCGACGCGTTCTTCGGTTCTATCAATGTCTACGTCACATCGTCTAGGGAGACTTCGTAACTCGATGTACAATCATTTCAGGCTCGGTACGATTAGCGTGATGCTGCATTCAACCGACAAATTTTCATAAATTTCTCGTTGTAATTTCATAAAATTATATTTACTTTAACGAAGTGTAATTTCCTTGTCTTTATTGTACCATAAGTCTACCTTAGCATCCTCATTTGTTCTAAAAGATGAAACTGTATATCTGTTAGCTTCTCGAAATACTGAAATTGTCAGTTCACAATTGGGTACAGCGCGGCCTCGTTAAGGGTCCGTAACTGGGTGTATATTTCAAATTCTCATGTGGCTGTGTATCAATTTAGAGCATGTGCGTGCCAAATCCCCTGTCATATCATAGTGGACCATATTATCGTAGGGGGTCACTGACCGGACAAGTGTGGCAAACACTGTAAACACTACGTCAGGGAGGGAAGAAGCAGAAGAAGACAAGGAAACTACAGTATGTCGTGTTAGAAAACCGCACATTCATCGCTCTTAGAAAAGAAATGGATGTGGTGAAAAGCTTTCGTTATAGGTGGCAAGACTTCCTGGATTTCAGAATAAATGTCATTAGAATTGACGAAAGAGTTCGAACCGATCGCAGGTAAAATGTGGAACATACTCACCCATTCACCTGCCATACGTGTTATGGGAGTACAGGAAAACCAAACACATCCTCGTGTTCTTAGAATTCACTATTCATTTTCGACTTCATAAGTACTCCCACTCCGCCCCTTCCTACCGTTGACGTCACTGAAGTAGGGGGCGATACATGCAGTACAGTACACCTGAATCATGATGTATTCTGACGTCATAAACGGGCCGACGTGCTGATCGGCCGTCCTACCGCAACAATGGAGAGTCTGGTAACGTGAAGGCGCGAGCAGTGATAATCCTACGTTCATGTGAAAACTATGCATTCCGCATTATCTTTACAGAGATTTCTTCTAAATACTATACAAAAGTTCAGTTCGTACCTCACAGGGAACACATTACGTCTCTGCTACGAAGATCAACCAGTTAATGTTGGTTAG